GGTCACTTATGTATACTATCATATCATCTGCAAATAGCAAAAGTTTGACTTTTTCCTTTCCAATTTGTATCCCCTCAATCTCCTTTTGTTTTCTTATTGCTCTAGCTAGAACTTCAAGTACTATATTGAATAGATCTGGAGAAGATCTATTATCTTCTATCTGACTTTAGTGGAATCGCTTTGAGTTTCTCTCCATTTAATTTGATGTTGGCTGTTGGCTTGGTGTATATTGCTTTTATTATGTTTAGGTATGTTCCTTGTATCCTTGATCTCTCCAAGACTTTTATAATGAAAGAGTGATGGATTTTTTTTCCCGGTTTTTCGAGACAGGGTTTCTCTGTGTAACTTTGGAGTCTGTTTCTCTGTGTAGCTTTGGAGTCTGTCCTGGAACTCGCTTTGTAGACCAGGCTGGCCTTGAACTCACAGAGATCTGCTTGCTTCTGCCTCCTGAGTGCTGGGATTAAAGGTGTGCACCACCACCACCCAGCAAGAGTGTCGGATTTTGTCAAAGACTTTTTCAGCATCTAATGAGATGATCATGTGGTTTTGGTTTTTGGGTTTTTTTTTTTTTCTGTATGTGAATTACATTGACAGATTTTTATATGTTGAACCATCCTTGCATCCCTGGAATGAGGCCTAATTGATCATGGTGGATGATTTTTTTTTTGATGTGTTCTTGGATTCTGTTTGCCAGTATTTTACTGAGTATTTTTGCATCAATGTTCATGAGGGAGATTGGCCTGTAATTCTCTTTCTTTGTTGCATCTTTGTGTGGTTTGGGTATCAGGATAACTGTTAGCCTCATAAAAAGAATTTGGCAATGTTCCTTCTGTTTCTATTGTATGGAACAATTTGAGGAGTATTGATATTAGCTTTTCTAAAAAGAATTTGGCAATGTTCCTTCTGTTTCTACTGTGTGGAACAATTTGAAGAGTATTGGTATTAGCTCTTCTTTGAGATTCTGATAGAATTCTGTGCTGAAACCATGTGGCCCTGGGCTTTTTTTCTTTTTTCTTTTTTTTGGTTGGAAGACTTAATGACTGCCTCTTAGGGGTAATAAATTTATTTAAATTATTTATTTGGTCTTGATTTAATTTTGGTATATGGCACCTCTTGAGAAAATTGTCCATTTCTTTTAGATTTTCCAATTTTGTGGAGTACAGGCTTTTGAAGTATGACCTGATGATTCTCTTATTTCCTCGTTGTCAGTTGTTAAGTCTCCCTTTTCATTTCTGATTTTGTTCATTTCTATGTTCTCTTTCTTCCTTTTGGTTAGTTTGGATAAGGTAGTTTACCCTTTTGGTAGTTTGTTGATTTCCCAAAGGACCAACTCTGTTTATTGATTATTTGTATTGTTCTCTTTGTTTCTATTCTATTTATTTCAGCCCTGAGTTTCATAATATCCTGGCTTCTCTTCCTCTTGGGTGAGTTTGCTTCTTTTTGTTCTAGAGCTTTCAGGTGTGCTGTTAAGTCACTAGTGTGAGATTTCTCCACATTCTTTATGTAGATACTTAGTGCTATGAATTTTCCCCTTAGCACTGCTTTCATTGTGTCCCATAAGTTTGGGTATGTTGCCGGGTGGTGGTGGCGCACGCCTTTAATCCCAGCACTCAGGAGGCAGAGGCAGGTGGATCTCTGTGAGTTCGAGGCCAGCCTGGGCTACCAAGTGAGTT